TAATTTAGTTATTCTGATCCAGTAATTCATTTGATGCATAAACAATGCGTTTCGGAATTTCTTTTTAATTTTTTAGATGAGATTTTTTAACTTATCAACGATAAGAGTTCCAGATATATACATACATACATACGTACTATGCATACATAAAAACGTATCGGTATGTACTTGTGCTTAGATGCAATCTTTTTTTGACGTATCAATATTTAGATAAACATGCGATTTTGTCCGAAAAAAACCTAACTGCATGATTATAGTAACACAAAGAGACCTATCTAAATTCACACTTTTGGAAAACTGATACAAGAGTGCGTCACTAGTGCGTCTCAATGGTTCTACACAAAATCCAGAAAAGCAGATTCTTGAAAATTAATTGTCGAAAGTCAGCCGAGGATTAGTAATCATAATTGCGGACTTTAATATGTATGCATTACGCAACGTGACAATTAATTTTCAGGAATTTGTTTTTCAGGATTTCATGGTAGAACTCACCTCAATATCTTGTGATTAATCAAAGAGCGCATCTACACATTTTCACGTGGGTGTGTTCAAGAGAGATCACTGACTATACAAGAGAATATATTTATGAAGATGCTAGATAATCGTCTCAATAAATATAATGAATAATATAGACAGTTACTTTTTCTACGTATAATAAAAAGTTATAAAATTTTTCTGCATTTCGACGTCAATCAGATCAAGAATTTTGTAGATCTATCTTTTTTTTTTGAAGATTTGTTGTGTTTATAGTGGGAGGGGTTAATTTATTACAATGATGTTTGTTTTCACCGTATATACTAAACCTTAAGGTTTGATCGATGCATAATTAAATGAGAAATTTGGTAAAATTTTTTAAAGAAACGAGAGCCAAATAATCGAAGGGTTGAATTTTGAGAGAAATCTACTATGTTTTTTGTTTATCTTTTTCATCAGATATACTTGGTTGTAAAAAAATCTTTAATAATTCGAATATAAAAAGTTTTTAGAATTATCAAATTAATAAAGTATAGCAATTTATTTTATTATTATCAAATTACGCTTTATCACATTTTTTTAGCTTTTAAAACCAAAGTCTTTTAAGTCTATATATATCATACAATACTTGTTTTTCAGACCTTCCAAAACCATTGAAAAAACTATTCAAAAAAAAAAAAAAAAAAAAAGATCGGTTCATAATATACAAGAATTATGAAATTCTAAATCTTAATAATAATAAACCGAAAAATGAGATTATTATTAAATCGTATAAGAAAAAACATATAGAAAAAACATAGAAAATTATAAGTGTGTTTACATTAATAAGATAAAAAAAATTAAGAACATACCAATCACTTTTCTATCTTTCAATAATGTAATATTAAAAAAAAAAACTTATTTAAAAGCAGTGACCACCACACCGACTTGCTGTCGGTCAAAAATCAGTTCACTAGCCCTTTCTTTGACCATCCTATTTCCAACACCACCTATACCAAATGCAGGACCAATTCTAGCAATTCTAGTAATAGTTGTTTTAAGATAATTCTTTGCAAGTAAACTAATTCTAGAACTGAGGCTAACACCTGGTCTATTATATAAATCCAAACCAAGTAAATGTAGGGCGCAACTAACTATTTGAACTCCAGCTGGACATAACATTTGAGCGAAATTTTGAGCTGTATCATAGTTCAAAATAATTTTTCGATCATAAAGTTCACGAGCCAGTACAGGAGGTATATTAAAACTAGCAGCAATAGTTAGGGCATCCCTAGTAGCGAATAATCCATAAGTTCCTAAAGGAAGACTCTTTGGAGCAACAATACCGAACATGCGAGTAAATGCACGATCTTTGTATATACATGTTGTCATATTAGCTATTGTAGTGCCTAAAAATTTTGGAGTTTGATTATCACGATTTGTGTAGGAACATACAGTGTCTATAACGTTGGCGGTTGTATAGGTAGAGAAGTAAACACCAAAGACCAAAAGGAAAGCAGGCGTACGGATGAATCTGTGAGGACGAGTGAATAGTTCAGCAAAGCCACTTTTTAAAGCGGCACCCAATTTGTTTCTACCACTTGCATTTTCTATAATTGATCTAATTAATAATTAAGAAATATTAATTATTAGCGAGTTGATATATTAACAAGTATTAATGGGTTGATATATTAACGAGTTGAGTGGATAATAAAAAAGAATAATATAAAATAAAAAATGATGAAATCACCTATCAACGATTGTTATAAAAGGAGAAACAGCAAAAGCAGCCGAGGCGGCCGAAAATACGTCAATACCAAATCGTTTAGTAAGTAAATTTGAAGCTTTATCTTCTTGCAACATCTTTATCTTCTTTTTTCTCAGGTTGAAGTCAAAATTTGAATAGAGTGTATGCACGTAATTCTTGATTGAAAAATTATTATCATATAACAACTTCGACCATTAATAAAAGTCAATGAAATTTTGATCTTTCGATCTCGCAAAAAAAGATTGTTGAAAACGCGTATAAAAAAAGAATACTTTAAATATCTATATAAAAAAGTTCGTCCAAAAGAACCTCAAAATTGAATCATTAACAAGTTTTCCCAAAATTAAAAGATCCAAGATCATTTAAATATAAAAAAATTTTTTTTTTGCTTGCTCGTATCTTGCTTGTACTTAGTGCAAACAAACAAAGTGGATAAGTATTGAAAAAGATGAATTTTTGTGTTCTATTACGCAAACAGATCGCAGATCATATACATATAATACTATTGATAGTATTTCGTGTCGCGTGGCTATAAACCAGTTATAATTATTGGCGGTGTACTTTTGTGAAACAAAATACACGTATTATTACCAAAAAGATTCTAAAGAGTTTTTTTTTTTTAAAAGTGTACAAACTTATGGATACACAGCCTTTTTTTTTTTATGCAATCAGATAGGGAAGGAAAAGTGTAAGATCATCATCTATCACTATTATCGATATTTATATATCTCAGGTGATCAAATGATTACCGTTACAATAGACCATAATATAGTAACAGTTATAATTTACTTAACATTTTTGTTTAGTGATCCACGTGCTCAATGACAATCAATATTACTTTATCGTTTGTTATATTATATTATAGGGAGTTTTTATATTGTAGAGATAAGTTGGCAATCGGCAATATCAATACTCCATTACAACAAGTAACGTATATATAACAGAAAATTATAAATCCTGAAATTAAAACAATGTTATGTGCGTATACGTATAATTATCCTAATCCTTAAAAGGGAATATGCAGTATTCGGTAGCTCATTTCGAATACTGTATTTACCCTATTTACTCTGAATTAAAGCCTATCGACCACTATCGCTATCGTTAAAAATGTCTTATATGTCGTACCTACGTTGATCCTTCACGTTTATGTTAAAGTTTTTAGTGATAATGTACATAATGTACGTACGTACACTAAATTTTAGAATTTATCTTTTTACGTATTTTTTTGCCGGCATAAAATAATAAAATATCATGTGAATTATGTAGTTACGTATATTTAATCTTGTAACATTTTTAGATATCTAATATTATCAAACCTAAGTACTACATCAAATCATAACTACAGAATGCTGATTAGCTACTTCAAACCGTTAGTAAACTTTACTATCATTATTATTATACAGTAATAGTGTCGTAACCACATTACCTGTCATGTTGCTGTATACTATCAAAGGATATACGCACGTAAATATATACTATCCTATTTTTGTTAGTATCAGATACAGTAAATGTCTTTAGCAAATTTATTTAAATAGAGTTTAGAGTGTGGTGCTTATGTACGTACGTACGTACGTATTACATATTTGTATGTGATTAACGCCATCAAATTGATATTATATATTAAGAAATAATAATAATTTAATTGTTTGTCGCTATTGTGGCTAAAGTAGTTTGTGTTGCAGTTATTAAATTATATTTACTCATTTCTTAATTTCGTATAATGTATCTGTTTTAGATTATACAGTATAAAAAAAAACTTGACCTAGAAACAGTATATATAATGATCACAGAAAAGATCCAGAAATAAATATCCCTTTAAAATTGAAAATAGCAGATTCAATTTTAATGATTCTTATGCTTAAACGAATGCTACAAATCCGAAGTGATAAAAAATGCACGTATTAGCAATTCTCGAAATAAGAAGTCAGTACAATAAGTAGCAATTATTTTGTTAGTTTAATGATTAGGCAATAATTTTAGTCTTAAACGAATGCTATCGCTATGGATTTTTAAGTACAAAATCATTGAAAACGAACCAACTATTCTTGGTGTATCGGTGCATCGCTGTAAGCGATCACTCATCATGTGACAATAATGCTTCGTCGATGATTTTGAGCTTAAGCAAAAAATGGTTTAGCCGTTCTTAAAATATAGGAAAAAATTCGTTGCACATTGTTTTTCCACAACCACTGTAATTTTAAATCATTTTGCTGAATAGTTAAACATAATTAATCAAGTTTTAACTATATTATTCTGTATTTAGCAAATTATAATTCGTATTATTTCCCGTTCCAAAACCTTGCCATAAAATATTACCGTACCGATAATTATTTTGCAAACATCTCACAACTTTGCTTATAACAGGAACAGAGCGAAACGAAATG